TCCCTTTTCCCAAACTCTTAGTCTTGAGATAACCACAAATGTCAATAAATACAATGACAGGTTTCTTTATTTTCTATCAATTAACTGGAAACTACCCTATGTCCTTTGGCCACCTCACACGAAGAGTTGACTCACTGGAAGAGACCCTGATGCTGGGAGGGATTGGGGGCAGGAGGAGAAGGGGACGACAGAGGATGAGATGGTTGGATGGCATCACCAACTNCTATCTTACAAGTGAAACACTGGATCTCAGAGAATAACTTGGCCCAGTCTTTCAGCTAGAACATGGGGAGCCAAGATTCAAGCTTGTCCGAGTGGATTCCCAGCCTCACTCTTCATCAACATGTGACCTCCCGGACGTAACACACACACCCTGCTCCTCTTCTCCTATTTCTCATCTTAATAAATGACACCAGCGCTCACCCATGTTGCCCCGGATATCATTTCAGTTTCTTCTCTCTGCTTCATCTCCTGTCATTTAACCTGTCATCAGATGTTACACGACTTCTAAACTAACATTTACTAACATTTAACTAGCAGCTCTCTAGTCTCCGTTGTCCCACTTTCTACATAGGCTCCACTTTCTTCATCCAGGCACACAGCATTTCTCCCTTTAATTATTGCAGCAGCTCTACTCTCAACCATCAGTTTTTTTTTACTGCAACCAGAGTAATCTCTGTAAGTGAAAAAAAATCTGATCATTTACATTTATTTTTAAGAAGTAGCATTTCCCATAATAATGAATTTAAACTTACTATGTATGGTTTTCAAAGTCCTTCATGTGCACTAGCAAGTCTCTTTTTAGACTAATTGCTGCCATGCTACATATGTAGCTTGCATACTAATAATACTGAAATACATGTTTACAAAAGGTCACATACTGTTTCATGGAGCCTCCTTTGCCTATGATACACCCCCCACCACCTCCTTTGTCTATGTGGCAAAATCCTATGCCCTCATTGACCTCCATGAAGACTTCTGTGAACTTGATAATCTGCTTTCTCTGTGCTGCCATAGAAATCTGCACAACATACCCCTACTGTATTAACCACTTCCATAGGAATGGTGTGGGTCAGATACACTACACGGAGTAATTTAAGATCGGAGATAATACCCTGTTTATAATTTCCCTCAGGACCTAGGCTGTAAACACGGGACTCAAAAATCTGGGGTCACAAAAATCCTCAAACTCTCTACATTGAGATTTTATAGGATTCAACTTTCTTAACTTCTCAAATGAAACATTATATGCATCTTTTATATTACTTTTCCAAACTAAATAGTATATTTGAATCACTATTCCGATTCTGCCAAATAACATTCTATTGGCTATTTAAAAACTGTAACTCCCACCTGTGGAAACAGATAGCAGTCAACTGATTTAACACCAACAAAAAAGCAAACCTCACTCTTTCATCAAAATATCAAAGACACAGTTCTGTCTGCTTGGCATCTTTCACAGGCTCCTTTTAAAGATAACAGCCTCATCTTCCCTTTGGGAAACTCCTCCTTGACTCCTGATGGCTCACAGAGGGCTGAGGGTGAGGAAACTCAAGTGAGCAGCATAGTCAACTAAGAATCCCACACTCCTACCACGGGGAAAGTAGTTCAGAAATGAACTGGTGACACAAGTCAAGAAGATAAGAGCTCATCCCAGGAGATTTTTTGCTTTGTTTTAATGAGGAGAAGCCTCTTGCTTTTAGAATGAGGGGAGAGGAAAGCCTGGAGTTGCTGTCTTATGTTCTTCCCTGATTACATGTAAAAAGTATGTATCTGAGAGTCGGGATAAAAAGAACCAGAGAAATAAAAGGAGGGGAATAGAGGGTAAAAGAAAAGGAAGAGAAGATAAAGGAGAAGGGAAAGAGAAGGAAATAAAGACAGAGAGAGAGAGAGAGATGAAGATAGAGGAAAAGATCTGATGACATCATGTGAACTTATATATCCATCTGAATGCATAGGCAGCTTTATTCCCAGATATTTTGGTTAGAAAAGCCAACAGTCTGTCTTCATTGCTAAAACTTATTTTGAGTTTCATTTCTCTAACTTCCAAATGAGTGAGTTCTATCTAATACAGAAGCCCATCTAATGATTTTTTTGGGTTTTTTTTTTGGATTATTCCCTCTCCAGGAAAGTACAAAACCCATTTAAGAGCATTAACAGCAATTTTGCACATCATTTTAGAATTTTTAAATTATCCTTATCTTTTTAATCAAATTACAGAAGTATTTTAAGAAGACAAGAAAGACAGGACAAATTTATCTGATGTGACATGCAGTCAGCGAAAGGACATAAAAGCATTTTATCTATTGTTCCACAGGACTGTCAGGAGCAGAATCCAATTATGATCTCAGTGAAAAGAGAAAGATAACATCTTCAAGAACATTTCTCCTGATACATAAAGATCCTGCCTTTTAAAAAAGATCCAAACTAACAGATGCATCTAACTAAACTAACAGTCTGTTAAAATCTATATTTTTTCCTGAGCTCTATATGAATATCCACAGTAACAGCATCTAGTTGGGATCATTATTTACATTGCTAAGACATCAAAGAGTTTACTTATGTACTTATGACACTGCATTTGAACGTAGTATTCCCCAATTATTGCCCCTTATGAAAGTGCACATTTAAACCACAAGAAGAAAAATATAAGTAATATATAAAAATGTGAATTAAAATGGCTAAAATAAAAATTTTAAAAAGTGATACCCACCAAATGCTGGTGAATATGTGGAGAAACTAGATCACACTGGATTACTGTTGGGTAAATAAAATGATACTTTGGAAAAAAATTATGGTAGTTTCTTAGAAAACTAAACAAGTAATTATAATATGACTGAGTAATTGCATTCTTGGATATTTATCCCAGAGAAATGAAAACTTACATTTGCACAAAAATCTGTACACCAAAAAAAAAAAAAAAATCTGTACACCAATATCTGGAGCAGTTATTTCCACATTATGGATGCAATTATGTATTCTGAAGTTTATAAACTAAAGCCCTAACTCCCAAAGTGACCATATTTGGAGACAGAACCTTTAGGGTTCTGAGGTCATCTGAATGAGACCCTAATCCAATAAATAGGCCTGGTGTCCTGATAAGAAGCAGAAAAGACACCAGAAGTCTCTAGATACACAGAGAAGAGGCCACATGAGTCCACGAGGACACAGAGAGATCACACCTGCAATCCAGGAAAAGAGTCCTCAACCAGAAAACAAAACTGTCGGCCCCTTGGCCTGGGACTTTGAGCCTCCAGGACTGTGAAAAAGCAAATGTCTGTTCTTTAAGTCACCTAGTCTGTGCTTAGGGCAGCTCAGATAGACTCACAGAATTCATAACAGCCAAAATCTGTAAACAACACAGATGTCTGTCAACAGGTGAACAGCTACATTGTGGTCATCCACATCTCGCGGGGTAGAGAGGATAATGATCCCCAATGATGGCCACATCCTAGTCCAGGGAACCTGTAAGTGTGTTAGGCTACATGGCAAAGAGACAGTAGGGCTGCACATGGAAAGAACGCATTCGGAAATCTCTTTCACTCCTATAATCTACATTAACATGAACAAAGTATTTATTTGGAAAAAAGTTTGAGAGAAAAAGAAGCCTGGTCCATTCATTATAAAGACAATGAATGTCAACGATGCTTTTACATGAAAAAAAGTTAATATTTGCTATCTAAAACTAAATAAATCTTCATGATGATAATCCTTATAATGATTGGTAGGGTTTAAAAAGAATTATATATATAACTATTTAATTCTACAGGCTCTCAGCCTTGCCTGCATTTCAGAATCACCTACAGAGCTCTAAAAATCATCTTCAAAATATAGATATTATGGGTCCCACCCAAGAGATTATGATTTAATAGGGATCAAAGCATTTGGATCTTGAAAAAATTCTACAGTAATTTTGAGGCCAAGGCTGAAACCCACTAATATAAGTTCTAATGACAATTTTAGTCTACTAAAAAAACTTATAGGAAACAACTTAAAATTCCAACAATAAGAAATTGGTATAAAAGTAATGAAGACATAAGTTGGGATACCACATAGTGATTTAAAATAATGTCGTAAAAATATGTCTATTGACATAGAAAAATGTACGTAAGTGTATATATATATATATATATATATACATATATATATATATAAACACAGAAAAAAAGTATGTATGGATACAATTCTATTTTTGTAAAACTAAAACACATATGCACCGATATGTATAAAATGGAGCTAATTTGGGTTGGCTGTAGTTACTCCTTATGCTGCTCCTTTTGTATGCCTATATTATTTGATATTTCTGAATGATTTCATAAGACTCATATATAAAAATAAAGCAACTTCACTTTGGTGATGAAAAAGCTAACCTTAAATAATAAATGTACTTTAAATGAAAAAATATTTTATTCTGAGATAAAGCAATTAGAGCAAAATTTTAACTAATGGTAAATCAAAACAAAAGGGAATAAGAATAGTACTATTCACGCATCTTTTCCATAGGGCTGCAATTATTCAAAATTTAAAAGCTGAGGCAAAGTTAATTAATTTAGAATTTGGTCCTATCCTCAAATAATATTCTATTTTATTATAGGCTGACCATTTCATATGTCAGTACAATACATGAATCCTTTAAAACAATGTACTTGAGTCAGCTTACATAAGGTAAAAGTATGAGCTAAAATAGCTAAAATAAACATACAATTATAGAAATATATACACAAAATACATGTAAATATATTCAATGTGTAAAGAAATATATGTATAAATGTTTTTTTAATTTAAACTCCCCTATTTCATTAGTAACCAACTGCATGTATCTCTTTATTGTATTAACCAACTTTTATACTGTAATGGTCTTTATCTTTCTGGCTTACTTCACTCTGTATAATGGGCTCTAGTTTCATTAACCAACTTTTAAAAACAATTTTTCCAATACAAATGCATTCAAAATCATACCAAGCATCAAAACAATCAACTTCGCAAAATGAAAATCTTACCTCATCTAAGTCTTGGATATAAACTGGTTTTTCCTCAAAGCCAATTGGCATTGGTTCACTATAAGGAATCTTTACTTCTTCATATATCTTGTTGTTCTCTCTTTGGATTCCTTCTGGTAAAATCATCTATAAACATTAAAAATTCAATAACAATATGAAATAGAATAATGTCTCTGGTAAAGATTCTTTAATTAAAGAGAGAAGGGAAAATGCTATTGGTTTCATGACATTGCACTAGCAAACAAATGTAGCTAAAGGAAAACAAAAACAACCAAAAAAACACACACATACATATACATAAAGCATTCACGAATCAAATATCTCATACAACACACAAACCATATTACATTGATGAATTTTAAGCACACAGTAATTACATGGTATTCCTGAAGATAAATGTAGTTACACAGCCAGGGAAAACATGCAATACACCTTGTAAGGTTTAGTTAAAAAGTGGTGCAACTGCTAAAACTCAAAAACACAAGTTGTACAGATAATGAAAGGGAGGAGAACAAATATGCTTTGAATACCTACTATGTGCTAAGAACTTCACATAAACTGCACTATCTCATTTTCTTCAATATTCAAATATACAATTTAGCATAGTAAAATGAAACAGGGAAAAATCTGTGTGTCATATCTCTAGAACAGACACGTTATCCAAAAGTGGTCATATACCAATGACATACCTTTGTACCAGCAATGAATGCTGATGTTCTCATGGCTTCAGCCTGGGAATCATAAACATGGGGATAACGTATTTTTTCAACATCTGTGTCTCTCTGCCTGCTCAGAATTGGAACATTTCTAGCATTCATGAGTGCCTGCTCTCTGTAAATACAAAAATAATAGGCTAAATCTGTCATTTTTATCTCACAATAGAAAGCATATACTAAAACAAAGTCACTATAATAACTATTTCATGTAGTCTTCAATTACAAAAGAGAAGAAATTAAACAACACAAAGTTATTAGCAAGCCTGAAATTTTCCGTGTAATCACATAAGTATCAATACATTTTCAGGTACTATTTTTAGATAACATCATCTGATAAGTTTGACTTAATGATTTTTATTATAATTTTTTCAGAATCCAAAGATATTTAACAAAGTATAAATAAGTTCCTTTTTTAAACTGGGTTTCAATATTTAAATACCATGTATAATAATGCCTTTATTTCATTTGCCTCCTTTCTACTTCTCAACAACATGGGAAAAAGCATTCATTAAGGTAGGAAAGAAAAAGATCTCAAAACAAATTTGTGTACACTTCATAAAGCACAGCACCTAAATCTCTCACCTCTGTGGATGCAACCAAGAATATTCTAATTAAGCAGATCACTGCTTTCTTATCCTAGAAAATTAGGTTTTCATACAACAAAATTCTATTCTTGTAAGAAAACGTGACTAGAAGAATCATCCAAGTTGTTAAAACTAAACTAAACAATTATAGTGATACATAAAAGCAGCAAGTACAGCACAAGCATTTTTCAACTTCTGGTTTTTATTACCTGTGCATCCGCAGTTCCTTAGGATCAAAGCACAGGAGGCCGTCTGCAGTTTCTCCATCTTCTCCGGCCTTTTTTTCTCGTCTGGCAATTCTTTTTTCTTCCCGGCGATACTGTTTCATTAACTGCTTCTCTTGTTCAGACTGAATAGTGACTTGACAACCGTAATTAGGTTTAGCATTTTCTCCTAAAATTTTTTTGCAATTGTCTGCAAGGCAAATTTAAGATCCATATTTTTACAAGTTTAACCTTTATGAAAACCAGTTTTCCTCTTTATCAAAACATAAGCTACACAATGCTCTAAGAATTCATTTTTTTTAAGTGGCACATTTAATTACATGTTCTAAGGAGAGTTTTTCTAAGTCACAATTTCTAAATGATATAATATCCTGGCTTAGAAAAAGTCAGAAGATATTGTTTTTCTACTGACTAATATAAATTCTTAGATATAACATCAGGAACATAAAAATTCTATTTCATAATTTTGAAATAATCTAAATTATTTCAAAATAATTACCAATACTAATCAGTATTTACTGTTAACATAGTAAAATAAAGATATCCTTTACATATATATAAGATTTAACTTTTTTCCATATAATAAGTCTCACTCTGTTAAACTGTCTATATGTCACTACTATTTTATACATGAAATAAAGTAAAATAAAAATAAAATACAGCTCAGGATATATTTAGAAGATGACTAAAGCAAATTAAGTATGATCCACCTTTTCATGGAAATGCAGGGTTTTTTAACCATTTTTTAAACTGAAGTATAGTTAATATAAAATGTTGAGTTAATTTCAGATGTACAGCAAAGTGATTCAGGTGTGTGTATATATATACATATGCTTTTCTAGATTCTTTTCCATTATAGGTTATTATAAATATTAAATATAGTTCTCTGTGCTATACAGTAGGTCTTTGTTTGGGATTTTGTATACAACACTGTGTATATATTTATATTCAGCATATGTTTATATACAGTATATATATATGTGTGTTTATATGTGTGTTTATGTTTATAGATATGTTTATATGTAGTATATGTTTATATACAGTAGGTCCTTGTTTGGAATTTTACATACATTACTATGTATATGTATATGTTAATTCCAAACTCCTAATTTTATCTCTCCCCCATCCTCTTTGGTAATCATAAATTTGTTTTTATGTCTATGAGTCTACTTCTGCTTTGTAAATAAGCTCACCTGTATCCTATTTTTAGATTCCACATATAAGATATCATATGATATTTGTCTTTCTCTGTCTGATTTATTTCACTCAATATGATAATCTCTAGGTCCATCCATGTTGCTGTAAATAGCATTATATCATTCATTTTTATGTCAGAGTAATAGTCCACTATATACATAAAACACATCTCCTCTATCCATTCACTTGTCAGTGGTACACTTAGGTTGGTTCCATGTCTTGCCTATTGTAAATAGTGCAGCTATGAACACTGGGGTGCACATATATTTTCAAATTAGAGTTATCCAGATATCCAGATATATGCCCAGGAGTGGGATTGCGGGACCATCTGGTAAATCTATTTTTATTTATTTATTTTTGGTGGGGGAGGGCACACCACATGGCTTGAGGGATCTAGTTCCCCAACCAGGGATCAAACTTGTGCCCCCTGAAGTATAAACACCTAATCACTGAACTGCCAGGGAATTCCCTATTTTTAGCTTTTTAAGGAACCTCCATATAGTACTCCATAGTAGCTACACCAATTTATATTTCCACCAACAAGCTAGGAGGGCTCCCTTTCCAACATTTATTATTTGTCAACTGGTTAATGATGGTCATTTTGACTGGTGTAAGGTGATACCTCCTGGTAGTTTTGATTTGGGAAATACAGCTTCTTTAAAAAAATGGAAGACGTCTAGAACCACTTAAGAGGAATCAGGTCAATCAAAGCTCAGTGTTTACAAGGGAGAATTAAACCTGTGGTTGGTCAACTCAATAGTCAGGAAAAATGTTCTACAAGGAATACCTTCTGTGTTTAATTAAATCTTTCTAAGAAATAGTATCCTGGCTCACTGCAGCCCTAAAGGAATTGACAGGAATGTCACTGAAAGCAATCCAAGTCAATACAAGCTTACTGTTTTAAAGACCTACTAGGTCCCAGGCACTGCTGGTAGGCTAGAAAAACAATGAAGAATGAAATTGGTCCACACTCTGAAGATGCACAGTGCAAGTTATTTTATCAAGTTCCAAGGCCCAATACAAAACAAGGAAGGATTTAAACAGCATCAAGAGGAGGAATTTAGCTTTCTAATTCACTCTAAGTCAAATTTTTACAATTCTCAGGCATGTGTCATTATCTCATTACATGATTTTGAATAAGTCATTTTAACTCTCAACCACATGAAATAACGCCTGTAAATAAGGCACCATAAGTCTCAAAAAGGAAAATGAGAAATAAAAGTTACATCTGAAAATTATGAAATAAGATATAATCTTACCTATATTGAAACTACATTGTATGGCTCTGAGAAAAGTATTTTTCTAAGTCTTACATATTTTGCTTTGTAAGTAAAACTTATTTATCTATTATAATGATTGAATTTATAACCAAGAAACTCTAGTATTAGAGGAAGAAAGCAGCATACTGCCAGTTTTCTAATGTACTCTGAAATATGAAAAAAAAAAATTAACCTATTTGCACAGTCACATGCTCAGAACAGAGATATTAAGCAGATTTTTAAAAATCTGAATAATGCCATAAACTTATTACTATAAATGAATGATAAAGGCTGTGTACGTGAAACTAAATTCTTTGGGTGTTGTTCAGTTACTAAGTTGTGTCTGATTCTTAGGAATCCCATGGATTGCAGCAGGCCAGGCTCCTCTGTCCTCCAGTATTTCCTGGAGTCTGCTCAAATTCATGTCCATTGAGTCAGTGATGCTATCTAATCATCTCATCTTCGTCCCCTTCTCCTCCTGCCTATAATAACCTTTCCCAGCATCAGGGTCTTTTCCAATGAGTTGGTTCATCGCATCAGGTGGCCAAAGTATTGGAGCTTCAGCATCAGTTCTTTCAATGAATATTCAGGGTTGATTTCCTTTAGGATTGACTCGCTTGATCTCCTTGCAGTCCAAGGGACTCACAAGGGTCTTTTCCAACACCACAGTTGGAAAGCATCGGCTCCTCAGCACTCAGTCTTTGTGGTCCAACTCTCATCCATACATGACTACCAGAAAAACCACAGCTTCGACTGTATGGACCTTTGTTGGCAAAGTGATGTCTCTGCTTTTGAAGGGGTCTTTGGGTGACATATTTTATGATAACATCATTAATATTTTAAACAAATGTGACAGGTACAAAATACTATTGGACACATCTGTGCTCATCAAAATAAAGTTAAAATTATAAGAAGGAACTATATTTACCTTATTAATAGCTTTAAAAGGCCTCAGTCAGAATATACTGAAATCCCATAAGATTGAACATAATAAGCGACTTTTAAAATCAAGTTATTAAGCACAAATGCTTAAGTGTATTATTCTCTTTGATGAGTTCAGCTAACTGGAGACTGACAAGTAGAAATGAAATGAATAAGCTTAACAGCAACTCTAATACAGAACTTTCTGAAGAACATGTAGAGCTTGTATCCTTTTAAAACGCTCCTATGACAAAGTCTTCTATAACTACTCAAAATAGTGTCATTTGACAGCATAAGCTAACTTAATTTTTATTTTATGATACACCCTATACTAAACATTTGCCACAACAGCCCCCAAAACAGAATTCAATTTATAACTATCAACTTAGCAGTTAGTACACTGTTCTCACTCACTTCTAGCCTACCTTATATTTCCTGGTTATAAGAACAGAGATAAAATAGGGTGTGTGTGTGAGTCTGCAGGCAAGAACACTGGAGTGGGTGGCCATTCCGGACCTCCCCAACCCAGGGATCAAACCCACGTCTCCTGCGTTACAGGCAAATTCTTCACCATCTGAGCCATCACACTGCTCTCTAAGACCATGATTTTGCGGAAGAGAGAAAAGAATAGGACGTGACCGTCTTACTAAGGTAACTTAATAAAGAATGGAACAATTTGGTAGTTTTAAGAGAATTTTGAAGGATCATTAATACAAAATTATATCAAAATACATAAATGGATGAGAACAGAGATAAAGTAACAAGTCAAATGATTCTTTTCTTCTTGAGTATTTCCTTCCCCCACTCCTCAGAAAAAGAAATTAAGGAGAATCATTTTCAAGGCAATTATACAAAAAACGCTATTTAAAAAAATCTTTAATATATGCTCATTGTCAGTTTCTTTCACCACAATCCTTAGAAGAAGTTAGTCTGTTTAAATGTCCCAAATTTTTGATGGTTATAATTATATTCTTCATTAGTAGCAACATTAAAAACAACCTAGCATAGACTTAAAAGAGTAAATGACAACTGAGAAGAGTAGAAAATATTTCAGGGCAAACTAAAGGCTCAAAAAATTTTTAATAATTCAAATTTAAAATGTGGTTTTAGGTTAAAAAGTGTGCTGCTTCTTAAAAGTTATCCTAGTAGAATAAAGTTTGTGTTATACAAAAATGACCATAATGAAACTGAAAAATGACATTCACTCATCACCTACAGCTTTCTTTAAAAAATACATATGCTGAACATATTTTGAAGTTTTGTTAATAAATTAGAACTAATGAAAGGTGGGATCAGTAAGAATCAACACTTTAAAGACTGAAAAAATGAATACCAAATTCTCAGAAATTACATTGCAAGACTGGATATTTAAATCCATTCCTTTACTTCTGGCAGATACCCACTTTAAACACTCAGTTGTGCTGGCTTACTGCAATGCCTGGCTGAAGCATGGTTTAACAGGTGAGAGTCCTTTTAGAGCCAGGCTGTTTATAAGTACTCAATATACTTAAAGAAACAAAACACTTTTAGAAAGACAAAGTGGCTAAATTCCAACGTTCAAAGTTTCCAGAAATCTCAAAGTAACTCCAAGACAACTACCAGTAATAAAAAAAACCCTTACGAAATTTTGGATTTAACTCAAGGCTGGTTTTGTAATTTCCTTTCACTGCCACACTCATAAATGTAAGAAAAAAGTGATATCACTTACTTAAACAAAGGGTAAATGTTGACTGCTCTGAAGAGGGGTATCTAATTTTTTATTCTCATGCACTTTGTAAAACTTCCAAACTATTTACAAGGCTGGCAAAGAAATTTGGGTAAAGGTAAGAAACAGTTTTCCTATCAATACTTACCACCTAAGACCTGAGTTTATCATCAGTTGTCTCATAGTAAGTCAGGTTTTTTTTTTTTTTTTAATAATTTTAGCTTCCTTGACAACTTTAATTCTTCTGGAGGTCTTCAGATATATGTAATACATGACTATATAAATGTTCAACTTGCTGCCTGTGATAACTGTACTACAGGTTAAGTAGGAGACTGTATATTGAAGATTTTATATCTAAAATATTATGATGTGTGCAACTTCCTATTGTTTAGCAAAAATTTTAACTGTGTACGTGTGTGTCCATGTATGCATATACCTGCACATGTGTGTTTGTGTTTGTATGAGTGTGTGAGAAAGATAAAGGGTGGGTACGGAAGCAAAACGTTAATGATTGGTGAATCTACATGAAGAGTGTATGAGTAGTTACTATACTATCTTTGCACCATTACTAAGGTCTGAAATTTTCAAAATAAAAAATGTGGTTATAAATTGTAACTCTATTTGACCCTAAGCATTATATGTAGTTGCTTTAATTCTTTTTTTGTCTATCCAAATCTTCTGCCATACTTAAACATAGACAGACTCTCTGACATAAAACCCTATCTAGGGCATTGATACTTGTTTCATAATCTGCCATATCTAAAATCTACTTAAGAGAATGTTATCAGTAAGTTATATAACAACCAAAGAAAATTTAAAGTATAATTGTATTAAAAAATTGCTAAACAATGAGTTTTTCCTTTAAAGTAAAATTACCACTGATTACTTTCTTACCTTGAAGAGCCTGCAACTTATGATCATTTGAAGAATTAAGAAATCTGTCCACAATTGTAATTCTGTTCTGGAGGAGTTTCTCAATAAGTTCAAGTCCATCAGGTCCCAGCAGCTCAAATAGCTTATAAGAAGAGGAAAATCAAAACAGTTACTTCAAAATTAATGTTTTCAAGTTATTACCATCTATTCAACAGAGCAATGAAGTTAAACTAACACAGAAGAACCTAAAAAATATTTAGAAAAGAATTGTAAAAAAATAACAACTTAGGAAAGAAAAAAAAAACTCCTCATATTTTCAGCTTTATAAGGCTATCTGCAATTATATGGGATTTCCCAGGCAAGAATATTGGAGTGGGTTTCCATTTCCTTCTCCAGGGGATCTTCCCAACCCAAGGATCAAACCCGGTCTCCTGCATCGAAGGTGGATTTTTACCACTGAGCCACCACAGAAGCCCTATATAATTAAAGAGCATGATCCAATTGTTAAAATAATTGTGATTCATATATAAAACCCTAAATCACAGGCCGAAAGTTTTTTACAATTGGTTTCTCTTGGGATAACCAAGGCCATGAAGTTGAATCCAAAGAGCTACCTCAAAAACAGCAGAGTTGTGGTAAACCACAATCAGAAGATTCACAGATTCAGCAACCAAGCTGTAGAAGAGAATTGAGAAAGACACAGTTGGAAGGACCCTCGGGGTGAGAATAAATACCAACACTAACCTTTGTAATTATTCCTTCAAAGGGTCACAAATTTACTGGATTAGTGCATGGAATAATTTAAGGCCCAGGGCATTTTTGCAAACAATAGAATGGTCAGCTGGTAATTAGTAAAGATTAATGGCTGAATGGGGTCAGGGGAAGGGGAAAAAGGGTTCATCTAACACTACCTTTGTCCCAAAGTGACTTCAGGTAAACTCACAGATGTGTCTCCACAAGGAACACCACCAGAAACTCAACACTGTGGAGTGAGAAAGAAATGTCTGCACTGAAATAATCCAGCTGGCCACTGAACCAACACGCAAGTAACAATAACAAGCCTTGTAGGTGGAACTAAAAGAAATGCACAACTTCCTAGAAAGACACAGACTACCAAAACTAACTCAAGACAATCTGAAGAAATCTAAAACAAGTGAAAACTGAATTAGTGATCAAAAACTACCCACAAAGAAAAATCCAGGTCCAGATAGCTTCAATGGTGAATTCTACAAAGCATTTAAAAAGTTAAAACCAATTCCTCACAAACACTTCCAAAAAACAGAAGAGGAAAGAATACTTCACAATTCATTTTATGAGGTCAGTACTACTCTGACCCCACAACCAGACAAATACATCAAAAGAAAACTACAGATGAGTATTTCTTAGCAATATGGACACAAAAGCCTCAGGGAAATACAAGCAACCCAGATCAAATCCAGCAATTTATGAGAAATTTATATACCATGACAATGTGAGATTTATTTCAGGAATATCAGGTTAGTTCAATGTAAGAAAATCATTTATATATTACATCATAGCAATAGAATAAAAAGGAAAAATCATATGGTTAGCTCAACAGATGCAGAAAAACCATTTGATAAAATCCAACATCCTTTCATGATAAAAACAATGAATGAGCTAAGACTAGAAAGGAACTTCCATAACCTGATAAAGGGCATTTATAAAAATCCCACAGTGAACGTCATACTTAATGGTGAAACAATGGATTACTTTCCCACTAAGAAAGGAAACAAGACAAAAGGGTGTGCATTTGTGACTCTACTGAACATTGTACTGGAGGTTCAAGTCAGGGCAATTAGGCAAGAAAAAGAAGCAGAAAGCATCCAGATTGAAAATGAAAAGGTATAACTATTTCTATTTGTAGAAATAGTTGGAAAATAGAAAATACTAAACTTTCTCTATGTTGAAAATACTAAAGAACATACAAAAACAGTATTAGAACTAATAAATAAGTGGAGTTTTCAAAAAGCACAGCAAGACCATTCAGTGAGGAAAGATCAGTCTTTTCAACAAATGATGGGACAACTGGCTAGCCCCATATGAAATAAATTGAAGTTGGACCCTTATACCACACACGAAAATTAAATTGAAATGAAACAGTGATCTACATTTAACAAACAAACTTATGAACTCTTTATTCAAGTAAATCTTAATGGGTTCAGATTTGGTAAGGCATTCTTATATACGACACCAAAAGCATAAGTAACACAAGAAAACACAGATAATCTGGACTTCATCAACATAAGAAACATCTGCTTCAAGGATACCATCAAGAAAGTGAATAAGACAACTCATAGGATGGGATAAAATATTTACCAATTATATATTTGTGAAAGTTCTTACTACTAATAAAAAGGTAACCAATGAGAAAATGAACCAAGGATCTGAATTCATCCAAGGAAAATCGATAAACGACCAATAAGCACATGAAAAGATACTCAACATCATTAGTCACTAAAGAAATACAAAGAAGACCCACTGGAAAGAAGAATTCGTTAATGGAAAATAATGGGTTGGGAAGGATGTAGAGAAAACTAGAATTCTCATACTTCATAGGAATGCAAAGTTGTGTAACCATTGTGAAAAACAGTTTTCTGGTTCCTCAGTTAAGTTAAACACAGAATTACAATATGACTCAGCATTTCCATCCCTAGGTATATACCCAAAAGAATTTAAAACATATCCAAACAAAAACTTGCACACAAATAGCGCTATTAACATAGCCAAAAGGTAGAAATAACCCAAATGTCCATCAACTCATGCATGGATAAACAAAAAGCAGTATACTCACACAACAGAAAATACTAAGACATAGAAAGAAATGAAGTCATATACAATATGGATGAACCTTCAAAACACTTTGCTAAGTGAAATAAGTTAGTCACAAAAGGTCACATATTATGATTCCATTAATATGATGTTTTAAATAGGGAAATCTCTAGACACAGAAAGTAAGCTAGTGGTTGTTCAGGGCTTAGGGGTTGGGGCAAGTGGTTGGGGTGAGGAGGAAGTACAGAAAAAAATAGCTAAAGGTTCCGGATTCCTTTTTGAAGTTTCATAAATGCTTTAAAGTTGACCATGGTGATGGTTGTACTTACCTATGAATATACTAAAAATTACTGATTTATATACTTTAAGTGAGTGAATTGTATGGTATGTGTACTATTTATCAATGAAGCTATTTTTTAAAATTATGAACCAAAATGACTTGTAATACTAAAAGTAACCAATAAACTGCTTAGGGTTAGAAATATTAAAGATAAAGATTAAATATAAATTTTCTGATAAGCATTTTAAGTAGGTTTTGAATGGCTGTTAGACACAAGCCAGCCTCATGCTTAAGGTAAGGGTGATATTAAAAAACAAGAAATTCAAAAAACATAAATGTGACACATACCTACAGAGTTAATTTCCCCTGACACTCCAAACAAACTGTTATCAGGAAATGCTCTCTACATACACCATGGAATGTCTTTATATCCTATCAACTTTCAAAGACTGTGTTAATTCTTAAATTGAGACCATTTCCCTATAAGGATATGATTTACTGGAGCAGTTACCCTGACATATATTCCCAGCTACTCAAGGTTATTTAATTTGAAATATAATGTTGACATATGAAATGTTAATTCAGAAATTTTTAGTTCAACATAATCTTAGGAAACCACCAGTGTAACTGGAAGATAACTTCTAGACAAAATATCTCAGGTACAAAATCACAGCACAAAGAACATGTTATTAATATTTCTTAAAAATAACACATCTGTGATCTAGCAAAAGAGACAAGAAAGCTGTTTTGCTCTGAATAGCAGGACTTCCCTAACCCACGATGAAGAATCCCCAGCAGAATTCTGAGATCAGCTGCCATCAGATTTAGAGCAATCCCAAATTCTGCTTTTCCTAACATTTGCCATTTTCATCTACACCGAGAGCAGGTGCAGTTCTCATTCAAGATCTGCACTACAAAAAAAAAAAAGATTTGCACTACAAACTAATCTGGCACGGAGACTAGCTGTTTATAAAGGTAGAGCTGCCTGGATCACTGCAAACAAGTTCCAGAAGCTATCAAATTGAAAAAAAAAAAAAGGAGGGGTGGGCAGGAAAAGTTAGCTATGGGTAGAGAAGAAGGCATCAACTACAGAGTTTAAAAAAAAAAAATACAGCTCTCAAACAAAAAAAAAGATAAGTTTTAGTACTCTGGCTGTAAGTTAAGGATATGAGATTTATAAGAACAGACAGGTAATATCCTATTCCTGGTAGATTCTGCTAAAGCCAACATTATCTATTAAATAATTTATCAACAGATAAAGGTGCTCAGAGATTTCACTGTTATTATAATTCCTTTTTTATTAAATTAGATGAGCAAATTAAAGTACCTCCTCATTAGACTAAAATAATGGAAACAATAAGAAAAATTAACCAATAGACTACATTCCTGAAAAGCCAAAAAAAAAAAAAAATTTCAGAACATGTACAGACTAAATTTAAAGCAGCATTACTTCTTTGTTTCTTATACTTTTAAAAACAGATGAATGTAGTTTGTGAATCTCTCAGGAAAGGCAATACCCACTTTCCACTGTATTCTGACTTACATCATTTTTATTCCAATAGGAACAAAGCTATAGTGGATGCTATATCCCCAACACAGTATCAAATAAATCACAAACATTATATTATCATAAAAGCAAAATATAAAGTAATGAAAACCTTTAAATAATATACCATGGAAAATTATACTACAAATCTTAAGAAAACTGGTAAGAAAAAAAGTTATCATAGGGCTAAATAAGAGCTATAAATCTGTTCAAGAGCTGGGTATGCAGAGATATGCTGAGGGTTTGTGAAATCCCAGAATAAATATGATAAACATACTTGTATTATGGGTTTACTCAAAGATTTTCATGCAAAACATTATTTCCAAGTAAAAGGGTCTGGTCACCGTAATGTCCTGTTTGAATCCTGTTTCTCAGGTTAGTCAAAAAGTGTTAGACCAAGTATTTAATCACTAAAACAAGCTTTAAAGCAAATAAAACCCAGGTTTTTAAAAGGTTTGTCAGTTACATTGTTTCCATCTAGTCAATATTAAGGAATTCATTAAAAGTCAAAAATAAGTCTATCTGA